AAAAGTATATTTATAATTTTATAATTATTTATAGAAATTATTAGAAAAAAAAAATTTTAATTTGTCAATTATTTAAAAAATTAAATATTTATTTGGTAAATATATTTGATCTTTCATTTATTAATTGAACCTATAATTTAGAGAAAGATTTTCGCTTACCTCTGGTAGTCGATTTAGGAGATCTTGCAACCTGTTTGGTTGCATTGGGAAGGTGTGTTCGACGTAAGTCTTCAAACACGACGTGTACCTCTCTTGAATTGTTTCTAACTCACTAGCGGTACTTCCATTATCTGTAAAAAACAAACATTTTTAATTAGTAAAACAATTGTTGAGACCTATCGAAAAACAACGGATAGATATACTCACTCTGTGTCAACATGATAATGACTTTCAGGCAAACATATTCCTCCATTCTTAATTTTAATCGCCTGAACATCAATGTGACGTGAGTGATTTTCTCTACCATGACGCCCACGTCTTGTCGCAACTGGTCCATCGTGATAGGTTTGCCCATCATTGACGACAGACAGGTCTGCAAAATGTGCAGGTTATGTGATACTTCCTGGTTGAACTCAGTGTCGTCGTTTCGGTCACCACCGTTAATATTACCAGAACTCCATATCTTTTGTGGCCCGTGAATGGCCTGATACGCAGATGTGGTTAACACCAGTAACTCGTGCCATTTATGAGTCAATAGTCTGGTGTGTACCTATATTAAAACAACCGAAAATTTAATAAGGAAAATCAAGTAGATTGACATTTCGAAATAAAAAATTAATTACTTCAACAGGAAGTTCTAAATAAAACGGTAGACGTTTGGTCCATTGTACTAATTTGTACACAATAGAGTCGCCTATTTGCATGAGTTTAGCTGACAAATCAGAATTATGTTCTAGCAAGTCTTCCATATTCTAAAATAACACAAATAATTCAGCTTTACGTAGAATAAAAAAAGCTCGTTTAGTGAATAAATTCAGTTACTCACGCGTACCCTAAGGGTGGCAATATCTTGGAATTCGTCGCAGTCCACGAGGTTTTTAATCATGTTGACAGTAGCCTCGATGGAGAACGTACGATCTCT